CTCTGTAAATCTTCACCCAAATCCTAATAAAAAAAAAAACTTAGCTGAGTATCCATCTATTATCAATCTATCCCGTCCACAGGTATTTTTTAAATACCTACTATGTGCCAGGCCTTAGATACATGGTTAGGACAGATGTGGCCCCTGCCCATGTGGAACTTACCTGCAGAAGAGAAGATATATGTTAATCATACAAATAAATGTAACATGAAGCAGTGACCATTCTAGGGTTCTCATCTCCATAACCACCATTTCCTTGGGTTAGAAACCAAGTCTTCTGACTGTCAGTTTCAAGGTAGCGAAGGGACAACCTTTCCTTTCATTTGGGTTTGTGACAAGGTGCAGTTCTGTTAAGCACTTAGTAAACGTCAACCACCTGAGACCAGGATCAGGTCACTCACCTAATGCCCACTGCTCCACAATAATGATCAGACCCCTGCCAATGTCTTCTCTGCTAGAGCCTGTCTGACCTCCCCTCCTTCCCACTCCTCACCCTCTTCCTCCCTGTGCTACTTGGGCCTCTGTGTCTTCCCCAGTCACCAGGCTCAGGCCTTTGCATATGCTACCTGCCTGGTCAACTCTTCACTTCCTTTGGATCCTGGTATCAGTGCCACTTCTTCCAGGAAGCTATCCATGGCCTCTCTGTCTAGCTCAATACCAGTATCCCAGTTGCCATCGAGTCAGCACCAACTCATGGTGACCCAATGCATGTCAGAGTAGACTGTACTCCATAGGGTTTTCAATGGCCATGATCTTTTAAAAGTAGATCTCTAGGCCTTTCTTCTGAGGCATCTGTGGGTGGACTCAGACCTCCAGCCTTTCAGTTAGCAGCTGAGCGTGTTAATCGTTTCCACGACCCAGGGACTCTGTCCAGCTCAGTAACCCTTGTTCAGTGTGCCTGTGGTGCAGTGTCCCTATACTGTGCCTTTCTTATCCTGCTTTAGATGCTCTTTGAGGCTGGCCTTGTTTCCCAACAGCCCTTAGGGAAGAGAAGGCATGAGGCCTTCAGGCCCCTGTGCTATAGCAGCCACTGCATGGGGACACAGCCCCACTGGCTGCTGTGAGGAGGGGGTCTCTTCACAACCATTTTTCTGCAGCAAATAAGGTACAAGACCAGCAGTTCTGGGATGCCCCTGCCCTAGGCTTCTCAAGTGGACTCTGAAAGGACTAAGGGGTTCTAAGGAGGAGTATATTGAGAGCCAGTTCCATCTTTACCTGAATTTTCTATGTGACTTACTGGAAAAAGCTCAGACTTGGACTCAGATACCTGCATTCAGTGCTTGGCTGAGCCACTTCCTAGCTGCAGGACCCTCAATGAATTTCAGTGCTTCTCCAAGCCCTGGTTTCCTCTTCTATAAAATGGATCCAGTGAACCATAATCACAGGGGACCTCAAGCTCAATTGGCATAACATACTACACAAAAACATCGTTCCACATCCTACTTTGGTAAGTAGGATTTAAAAGCTTGCAAGTAACCATCTAGATACAACAATGGGTCTCTCCTCATTCAGAGCAAAGAAGAATGAAGAAAACCAAAGACACATGGAAACAATCAGTCCAGGTAACTGGTACACCATGCAATCCTCAGCCTATACAACTGTGAGACCAGAAGAACTAGATGGTACCTGGCTACCATTGTCAACCACTCGGAAGGGGATCTATGTAGGAAATCC